TAGTTGTCTGCTTAGTTTGCTTTTGTTTTAGGTATGGTTGTTAATAACTGTGAGTTTGCTGTCTCTTTACTGTTCATATTTTTTATCTTCTTTTTCTTAGAGAAGTCCCTTTAACATTTCATAAAATAAGGACTTGGTGATGATGAACTTCTTTAACTTGACCTTATCTGAGAAGCGCCTTATCTGCCCTTCCATTCTGAACAATAGCTTTGCTGGATAGAGCAGTTGTTTGAAGTTTTTGACAGGAAGTGACAAAGAGGCGGAATGAGGAGACAAGGCGACATCTTTGGAGGCCGACACAAGGGGTTGCTCCCAGGAAAGATGTGGCCTTTAGAGGAAACCATGCCACTTAGATTCACAAGACACCGTCCGTGTTGTGCTTAGCATCGGGGCTGACCGTTTTCGCCAGCTGAACATCTTCCACCCCCCATCCAGGGCGCCCTGTTTTTCCTATCGTTAGTTTGGAAGCTGAGTCAGTTCTCGGGAGAGTCTGGGCCACAGGCCCCCACCCTCATTCAGATTCCCGTTGCCCCTTTATCCACGAGTCCATGCCGTCAGTGCCCACGTGACAATACCACTCCGGGAACTGAAAAGCCATTCTAATACCATACATAGCTCAGTGTGTGAGAGGCACAGTGGTGGCTAAGCTTTCTGAATAAAGTGATTGTTAAAAGACATCATCTAAGGATAAAATAACATTAACATCCGGGACTTGTTATTAGAAATTCTCTACTTTTATCCGTTTCCCGACTTCCTTTCCCACAGGGTGGTCTGGGGTGCCCACCCACCAACCCTGTTTCCCGAATCCACCTGGGCCGCTTGCACCTTTATGTCTGCTCACCCTTTTGGCTAGAGCTAGCCTCTCAGAGGTTTCTGATACACCCATTAGGAACTTTGCATTTGGGGTATTTATGTTTACAGGCAACAAACTGCTTGGCCATCTGTACCTAATGAAGCGGTGTTGGCGCCTCCTGGTGGAACTTTTCAGGTCTGCCCTCAAGGTCAGCGGAGACAGGTTTGGGCCGGTGGGAGTTTCCGGGGCAGAGGAAGCAATTCAGGTATAGTCCTGTTAGACGGAAACGTGTTGCCTTTGTGATTTTATCACTGTGTTGAAACTCACACAAAATAAATGATTGGAAAATCTTGAAACTAAAGGTGTGCTGACCTTTCGACAACAACCTGCTCAGAAGGTCTTCCTGTTCTGAAGCACAAACCGGCGATTCTTCAAATGGGGGCCCCAGGCCACAGGGGAAGCCCCTGCTTTGGAACCCAAGCCTGTCTGATGACAAAGCCCGGCTCTTCCCAGGACACCGCACTGCCCTGGGTCAGCGATGGGCTCCAAAAGCTGACACAAGCTGGGTCAGATGAAGGACAATGACCACTCTTTCCCAGGGCAGCGAGGCGAATGCAGCCGCGGTGCAGGTGCCGCCTCCCCAAAGGCCTGGACCAGTGCGTCTCAAAGACCAATGTGCTTGTGAGTCAGCCGGGGGATCTCGGTAAATTCCAGGTTCAGATCCACTAGTTTTCAGAAGGAGCCTGAGCTTCTGCACTTTTAACAAGGCCCCAGGTGAGGCTGCTGCTGGCCTGCAGACCCCATGTGGAGTCTAGAGTAGTCTCCAGACCTCCAGACCCGCGGTTCTGAGATGGAGGTAATTTCAGCCCCTGGGGGACTGTTGGCGATGTCTGGAGACATCCCTGGTATCACTGCTGGGGGTTGGGGGCAGTGCCACTCGCATCCAGTGGGCGGAGACCAGGTACACTGCTAAACATCCCACAGTGCACGTGGCAGCCTCCCTCCACAAAGAATTATTTGCCCAAAGTCAACTGCATGGAAATTGGGAAACCCCACCCTAGACCTAGTCTTCTGTGACTTGGACCCGTCTGCTGTAGGAAGCAGCAGATGCTGCTTCTGCTGTAGGAAGTCCTCTAACCTGGAGAGAGTTTCCTGGGAAATAGGTACGAACACACAACACACACTTCGAAATCATCTGCACGTATTTTCTTCACACAAAAGGTAAGTAGCATGGGGAAGACCAGTACCAATGGAGCTGTGACCTTGAACACCAACACGGACACCTGTAGGGAACTTTGTGTTAAACTCCTCCAGCCGAGGACTTGGCAATGCAAAGTCAGTGACTCCAGCAGACTTGGTAACATTTTTCTTCATATCCCATGTAGGACCAAAACACGAAGAAGATGAAGACAAAGAAGAAGAAGGAGAAGGAGAAGGAGAAGAAGAAACTTCTTTCCACTGTGATTTATCTTCCACAATATCGTATGGTAAAGTTACAACTGTTAACCTACAGTTGGGGGTCAGCAAACTTCTGTACAGGGTCAGATGGTAAACACAGGGGTGGGCAAAGGTGGGCTTCCAGCTGTGAGTATGTAGAACAATTTATTCTTATATTATTTATTTTTGTATTGTTTGTATTTATTTTCTTATTAGTATGCTTATTTATTTGTATTATTTGTCCTCTTATTATTATTATCTCATATCCTTACTTATGGCTTATCTTATAGGTAATAATGGCTGGTAATTTGACTTACTTTTGCCGCCCCCCCCCACCCGATCAGGCCTTGCAGGTATAAAGCCTGTCATCACAATTATTCAACTGAGCCACTGTAGCCCCACAGCAGCCGGAGATGATAATAGTAACCAATGGATGGGGCTGCATTCCACTAATTCTTCACTTACAAAAACGGGCCCCCGGTGGGGCGCCCCCAGGCAGTGGTTTGCTGACCTCCGGTCTAGGCAGCTAAGGAAATCTGGGGTCAGCTGTAAGCCCTGTGTAAGCTGGGACATAAGCAGCCACACTTTTTATCTGCCCCCTTTGGTTTTCTGGGGTGAGGAGAGGATGACGAATGCATCGCAACAGGCACCGGGGACAAAAGGTTCCCCTGCCTGACCTCGTCCCTATGCAAACAACTGCGGACGCAGTCCACTCATTCCATTGTCTCCCTCTGAAGTCCACGCCGGGGCTCGCTGATTTATCGCCCCGCATTCGTCGGCCACCTGAGATGTGCTCAGCATTGCTGGAAACCACACGGAATCCAAGAGACACAGTCTCTGTTCTTACGGAAGTGGGGGTTATTATGGTGAGAAGACAGACAATCACAGCAAGTTCAATGTCCATGGATGCATTATTTACTTATTTATTTATTTATATCGAATTTTTATTGCATTTTCATTGCCATGTAGTACCCTTATGCCCCTCCCCCACATGACATTATTTATTAAAGGCACATGTGACAATTGGTTAGGCATGTGGAAAAAGTGGAACCTGGGTACTTCTGTTTTCAAAATAAATTCCAATTGGTTCAAACACTTACATGTAAACATAAATGAAATCATAGTGCTGGAAGTAAACACAGGGAGGGTTTATGTATTTTTTTATAATTTGGGGGTTGGGAGAGCCTTTCTGTTAAGACCATGAACCTCATAATCCACAAAGGAAAAGGTCATATAAGAATAAAAGGCATTTCCATGAGAAAGTCTGCCATAAACAAGATCAAAAGGAGCTGTGTAACTATTTTTAATACACACAGCAAACAAAGCGTTAATGACTGAATTGTACAGACTTGTAAGAATCAATAGGAAATGAGGAATTGCCTACAAGAAAAGTGGTCCTAATTTACTGTGCCCCAAATTGCCAATTAATTCTAACCACTCGAGCAGAGGCTAAGAAAATAAAGCGAAAAATCTGGACCAAAACCGATTGAAATTCATCACTGTCACATGGGTCAGCTTCGGACTCGGCTCCTTGGATCACATGCTCCCCAGCTGCTCCTTCGGGGGTGCTCCCTGCTGGAACCCTCGCAGACACGGGCCACGTGGAGCCACTCCAGTGCCCCCCGCCCCCCTGCTTCAGCTGTGGAGGCCGTGAGTCAGCCCAGCCGGAGTCAGACAAGAGCATTAAGAAGCCTTCAGATGATTTCAGCTCCCAGCTGTTCGGGTCACTCCCAGCCTTTCAGTTCTTCCAGGCTGAGTCCCTGCAGTGCAGGGCAGAGACCAGCTGCAGACACGGTGTATTTGTGTGTGTGTGTGGGTCTGTGTGTGTATGTACACATGTGTGGACTCTAAAACCCTTACCCAAGGACCCCACAAAAACATAATGAAGTCGTGAGGATGTGACGCAATGAGTTTCAGCGGGTTGGTCATAGTTGAGCAGAAAAGCGAACACTGCCCATCACCACCAAGGCTGCGGGTGCCACTGGTCTCCAGCCAGAGGCTGACGTAGGAGGGAAGCTACTCAGGAAGGATCTTGGACGCCACACAGAACACAACAGCTCACCCAGCTACCACCCAGGGCAGGACCCCTGCACTTGCAGTGAGATGACAGTCTTAGATGCCCGGTTCGAGGAGGACCAAAGACATAGGGAAGGCTGGGGGGAGGGCCAGCGCTGGGCACCGCTGTCAGGTGCATGTCTGTACCACTGCTGCCAGCCCAGAGGCCCCACGGCGATTGCTGCCACCGCGCCGCGCTGCGCTCTGTCTGCCCCGTGGGCCCCGCTCCCTACCCTGGGCTCCGGGGCTCTCGGCTGAGCCTGCAGAGTCACTTCATCTAACTCGGGGAGCCCAGCAGAGGGCTAGGAGCGTGGCTTCAGATCCCAGCAGACTGTGTGGTGTGACGCATACAAACGTTTCTGACTGTTTAGGCCTCAGTTTGCTCATCTGTAAAATGATATTAACCGCCCAGAGCTGTGACGGGGCGGGAGGGGAAGTACAGTGATGGCAAAAATGCCTGGCACACAGCCAACACTCACATGGGTTCAATTACTTTGTATTGAATAGTTACAACTTCGGCACAAATCTGCGAGACACAGACAAAAGAATACAAGGGAAATAACCGAGACCAGTGGATGCTGTAGAATATAACAATTTCTGTAATGACTCAGATAAGGACCCCCCCACCCCCCTGCCACCCCCACCCCCACGCCCAGGCTCACGCCGGCTCCTCGGTTCCAGACCCCACCCCAGGCCCCGTTCTCTGGGACCGAACTCACGGGACTCCGGCCACACAGGACACACCCCACGCCAGGGCCTGCGGCCTCCGGCACCGCAGACTCCGCGGTGGCACAAAGCCACGCCCCGTAAGCGCCTGCGCCCCAGAACAGACCCATTAGCTGCAGAACTCGCAGGAGCCGCCGCGGTTTTCTGCGGGGAACAGCGCGTGCGCACCGGAGGGAGCAGGGCTGCCGGCACCTCGGGTCAGGTTGGCGCTGTTCCTGCGGGGAGGCCCAGCTGTCTGTCTGTCCATCGTGTCAATGAGGGACCTGGTTGGCCCTGCTGGCATCGGCCCCTGGGTGGGAGGGCTAGTCCCAAGGGGGGCCTGCCCCCCGGGCCGCTCCACCCCTGGGACCACGGGCCGCGCGCCTCCGAACATCTCCTGGGAGGTGTAGGTCATGTACAGGAAGCCGTCCTCGTCCCTGTAGTCCCGGTAGATCTCCGCCATGGTCACGCTCATGCTGACGGCGCTCTTGTTGTTCACCAGCAAGTAAAAGGCCTCGGTGGCCCCGAGGACCATGCGGCTCCTGGCACGGGGCAAAGGGCAAGGGCAGGAAGGGAGAAGGTTAACCCAAAACTCACTCCAGCCTGCCATCCTCAAACTGGAGCATCCGCCAGGCGAGGCCTGTTGAAAATGCAGGTGCCTGGGCCCCACCGCAGAGATTTCGGTTTAGCAGATCTGGGAAGCAGCAGCCCCGGAATCTGCATTAGTGTGACGCTGGAGGAGGCTGAGCTGCTCCGGATGCCTCCCGTGGACATTGAGCTGCCACAAGGCCTCCTAGCGGGGCCAAAAGGGGGCAGCCTTCCCATTGGTAACCAAGAGACATACCAGCACAAAAGTGCTAAGTGAGTGAGCCTCTCTTTGCTCTGAGGTTGAAGGTATTTCCCCACAGGTACAAAGGGCATCCCACTCTCTTCCAGCATCTCGTGTTAAACAGCCTGCCTGACCTTTGGAAGGGATCTCCTGCCTCCCAGCGTGCCCTCTCCTCCCCTGCCCCTTCACCCTCGCATCAACGAGACAGGGAAGCAGCAAAGTTCAACCGGACATGCTTTACATGTCAACCTGAGTTTGGATTCATCCCGGAGTAGAGGGCAGACAGCCTGGTGGTGGAACACAGACAAAGGCTCAGTCTCGCCCGCAGCTCACATCCATTTGCTCTACTTGGCCAGGCAGGTGCAGCCCACCCACTCAGGCCTCAGGGCTTTGAACTTGCAGGGGAGCGTGGTCCGTGCATCCGTGGGAGACTGGTGGCTGCAGCCCTGGTTCATTGTATAACCAGATCACCCCTCCCGGCATAACCCCAAAGGTTTTCACTCTGACAACCGCATGGCTGAATCTGGGCGTGAAAGAGCTGCCCTGCCGTGGGAATGGGTGGCGCGGCCGTGGATCCTGGAGGAAGCTCTGTTCCCAGCACCCGCGCCTCCAGCTCCTCCTGGCTTGGCCAGGCTCTGAGGAGAGGCGTCGGGATGCTTGCAAGCAGCTCATTACAACAAATACAACAGGAACGAATATATATTCACAATGAATTCTTGAAAAAGCAAGCTTCCAAGGGCCGGCCTCTCCAGACTGCAGCCCCGTGAAGAATTACCCACCGGGTCACGTGAGTGCACGGTACGCACAGTCATTTGTATTGAAGGCATGGGTCTGACGACACCACGTAGTAACACTCTGAGGCTTTAAAAGTAGCTACATCTTCTCTGCTGGGCCCTGTCCCTGGGAGGAGTGTGTTTTGGGGACACTATCCTTGTCCCTCTTCTCTGAACAGGGAAGGCTGCCTTTACCTTTTGAAGAGGTCCCCCCCCCCCCCACCCCAGGCACACATGCCCTGAAAAGGCGCTGTGTCTCCCTGGGAAAATGCTGACTGGGTGATCCACACTCTCAGGAAGAAAAGATACTCAGGACTAGTTCACAGCTGAGACAATTTTAGAAAATTCTTAGAAATATGGGCAGCTCTCCATTCTTTGGATTTGTTATCTGAGGGGTTCTCCCACCTGTTTAAAATCGGAGGCACTCTCAGAACATCTTTTCCAGTCGCTACAGAATTTAAAAGGTGAGTCGCAGAGGAAACCTTTTCCCTCTATTCTCCTGCAACGCCCCATCCTCACAACCAAACAAAGTAACAAAGCCAACAGGGGGACACAAAGGCCAAGGAGGCACCCCACGACCCCTTCCCATGCACCTCGCCACCTACCGGATGATGCTGAGGAACTGGGTCATGGTCAGCTCCTGAGGCACCAGGAACTTGGTCTTGTCCAGCAGGGGCAGGAACTTCTCCTTGGAGTAGCGTTCCACCACCACCTGTCGAGAGTTTTCAGCCCCTGAGGATGCGACTCGGAGCTCTCAGTATCTGAGAATCTCAGAGCAGGGAGAGATAGTGGGGTTTTTTTTTTTTTTCTTGTTCTTGTTTCCCAGGAACAGAGGAGTGTGCACCCTTTTCAAAAAGTACAATGGAGACTTACCGGGATCTTGTTTGGGAACTTTGCCCGGATTCCAGCAACTTCCTCTTGTCTGGTTGCTGCGAACATTTCAAGAACAAAAGAGTCAGTAAATAGCAAGAGAAGCCTGCCTCCTCTCTGTCTGCTGACCCAGACACTTTAACCCGAGAACTTTATACCTAAGCTCTTCCTCTGCTTGAAGGGTCTGAGGCTTGGGCTTTTCTGTGGAGTTTGCATTTTGCTCAACAGCTGTGTCTGTGCCTGACTTTAAAAAAAAAAAATTCCCACAGCCAGGATCTAACTCATTCCTCCATCTGCTTCCAATCCGCCTGCAGGAGCCTAAAGGAGGCCCTTATGTAGGGCTGTGTGACATCAGGCCCCTCCAGCCCTCCCCTCCCCTCCCCCACGCCCCCTCCCTGGGCACGAGGAGGTCAAGTCTGCGGGTGGAAATGGGATAGCCACCTGCTTATTGGTCAGAAAACGTCACTCTGTTCATGACCGGTGCCAGATAGATATTTTTTTTTGCTGGAGAAATTAGGGTGCATCATAAAATCAGAGACTGTGTCATCAAACAGCCCAGGTTGGGGCGGAGGACTCCGGAGAGGGGAAACTGCTGTGCGCGAAGGACATTTTTGTGCATCTTGAAGGGAGGCCAAGATGGATCCACCTGATGCTGAGACGGGAGGCGGAGCTCTCGCAACAGTCCTCGCCGCCGCTTTTCCCAGAGAGAAACCGAGGATCAGAAACATTAAGGCACTTGCCCAAGGTCACACAGCGGGCAAGAGAGGCGGTCGGGGTTCAAGTCCAGATTAGGTACAAGGGGGGGCTACACGCCGGCATATTCTGCCATCTTGTCTTCTCTGCAACCAAGGAGGCAAGGAAGCACATCTACCCCCAAGATCTCTGTTTGCGAGGTGGGAAGCAGAGGCCCATTGGCCTGGGACCAAACCGCCGGTAAGAGGCAGACACAGCTCTGTCAAGCCCCGGAGTCCAGGGCCTGCCTTCAAAGCATACGGCACCCCAGCAGACCTTCAACTCCAGGTGAGCAGGTTTTCGTGACCTCCCCTGATCTCCCTGCGAGGGCATTCAACATCCACGAGGCTTTGGATGAACACAGGGCCGTAAAGGACGGTGACGGTGTGTCCCCACGTTTGCCGGGTGAATCAAAGGGAGCGGATCTCAGGGTTAGTGATCGGGGATGGGTGTCAAGTGATTAAGTGCGGACATCACTGAAGAGACAAATGGCCTCATTTCCGCCCTCCCCACCCACCGCCCTGGACCCCAAGGAGCAGGTGTGTAGTGCACTTCCGGAGTCCAGTGGCTTTCAAGTCTATGGCATCACCAAAACTGCCACTGTCCTGCAGGTGGAGGGGTAGGAAGGGCAGGTGGGAGGAACACTGCAGATCCACCTCTACCCAGAATGCACTGAGGTGGGGCCAGCCCAGACGGTCCAATCCCCAGGAGCGGGTCCAGCCTCCCAGGCCAGGAAGAGCTAATTCCAGGTCTGGCCCTCCCTTACTAGCACCTCAATGTCTGATCTGGGATAAATTACTTCACTTTACTAATTATGGTTTTCCTTTTTGCAAAATGATTATTTTTAGTTAGTTTAAAGTGGTCAGTTTGACTTAATTCCAGATAGGTATGTTTGACTTAAGTGAACTGATTTGTGTCCAGCAGAGTTCGGTGGCCTGGTACCAAATCTGATGCTCAGGGTATGCCCCTTCCACCTCCCCCCCCCCACACACACACCTCTCCCAAAGCCCCCACAGCCCCTGGAGAGTTTACATGCACTCAGGTTTGCAGACGGAAGGGAATAGCACTGGGTTGGGGGGCATTTGCAGTGTTTGGTCATTCATTTTTGGGGATCTGAGAGGTCTCCTAACTGTGCCGTGTTTTGGTTTCTGGGCTGGCACATGGGATTAGCTCAGCCCAGTCCACCTCCTGGGGTGTAATGGGGGTGAAGAGGCAATAGAATAAAGGACTTGGGGAAATACTGAGATGCAGCCATACTCATAGAATGCATCATCAGTCAGCAGAGGAATGGGCTAGATCAGTTTTCTTTTGTTGAATAGTTTCTTTTTTGGGAAGAGCAGGGTGTCTGCGGGTGCTTGGGGACCCATCAGTGTCCTCAGAACCTTGTCAGTCAGTGGGTGACCAGAGTCACATGCCGTCAATGCCACCTGCACTGGGGGGAAGGGGGGAAGAACAGCACTGTGGAAAATGGCTGGAGTAGGAGTGCTCAGTCTCCATCCAGAGCCCTTTACTGATATTTTAATTAAAAAAAAAACCCAAAACCAACATTGCTCATGATACGCTGTGGGAAACAGGGTGCTTCTTAGAACTTTGCCTGTCCTGCAGACCAAGCAACCCGTGCCGGCCCAGGTCATGGGGTTCCCATTACCCCGCACTCCCACCCCACTCTCATCCCTCTGTGGGCATGGGGCTGGTGATGGGACGCTTGAGTCCTGGTACTAAAGAGAGTGAGCTGGGCCCTGGCCGGGTAGCTCAGTGGGTTAGAGCATTGTCCCGATAAGCCAAGGTTGCCGGTTCGATCCCCAGTCAGGGCACATGCAAGAATCAACCGATGAACGCATAAATAAAGTGGAACATGAAATTGCTTGTTTCTGTCTCTCTTTAAAAATAAATAAATACATAAAAAGGAGAGTGAGCTGGGAATGTAAGAGGCAGAGAGTGGGACACTCGCTGTTGGGGTGGGGGGGTTTTATGCCTTTCCCTACGTGAGCATGCTTATAGTGAACCGCCCCCCGCCCCTTAAAAATAATGACCAGTTAGCCTTCCCCTGACTCCACCAGACGTGTGACTGACATGGAAAGAAGGACTCCGAAAATAGACTCGGGTTCTCAGTCTTGCTTACTTTACAAAGAAGTTACTCCTCTGAGCCGCGTGTTGCTCATTAGCAAGATGAACATGCTGTCACTCATCCCGCAGCGCTGTGTGAAGCTTGCATGTGGGAACCTAGGGGACGCGCACACACATATGGGGTGACAGTAGGCACTCAGTGAATATGAGCTCTTTTGATGGCGGGGGCCTGGGGCGCCAGGGGCCCAGCCCACTCTGCTCACGCTGCCCGGACCTCGTGTGAGAGTCGGCCGAGCTCACTCTTTCCACTTAGCTCACTGCCCGTCCAGTGCTCAGACTCCTGCGTCTGGCGTCTGTCCCGGCACTAATGCATGCCCCTGGGAGGTCAGCAATGACACACAAGCACCTTTTTTTTAAGCTGTCACCTTATTTGATGTTTGATCCTTCAGTGCGTGGAATGGTGCATTCCCTCCTTCCCGAAACTCTCACCTTTTTGGTTTCTAGGATACCGCTTTCGTGGGGCCCTGCTCCCCCTCTTACTCCCTCCTCGAGCTGCTGCTCCCTTGTTTGCAGAGCCAGTTCTGCAAGGAGATAAATACAATATCCATTTATCCATAATATGTTCACACTTATGATATGAATAAAAAATTTCACAAAACTTTTGTTTCTTTTTTATAATTAATGTTTTTTATTTTTTTAAAGATTTTATTTATTTTTAGAGAGGGATGGGGGGAGAAAGAGAGAGAGAGAGAGAAACATCAATGTGCAGTTACTGGGGGTCATGGCCTGCAACCCAGGCATGTATGTACTCTGACTGGGAATCGAACCTGTGACACTTTGGTTCGCAGCCCAAGCTCAATCCACTGAGCTACGCCAGCCAGGGCTACTTTTCTGTTTTTTGACCTGCCACATGCTGGCTTATCTAACAGGTGCACACACACGAGCTTTCAGATGAGCCTCCTGGGATCACCCTCCTTCAGACCCCACCGACGCCCAAGCCCTTGCTCTGTACAAAGCTTAAAGCCCCCGGTGCTGCTTCTCCTGCCCCTTGATCTTGGCATTGCCCCGGGGCCGTCCACCCAGCCATCTCCTTGCTCTCTGTGCTTTTCTGGGGTGATTTTAACCATTCCCGAGGGAGTTTCCCCAGCGTGATAAAAATAGGTCCGCCCCTTGGCAAATGTGGATGTTGGGGCTTAAGGAATGGCTAGGACGAACCGGTCTCATTTCTGTCCTGTCCTACTGTGGCTGCTGTCCTTCACCCTTCCTGGCCACCAGCTCTGGTTCCAGTGGGAAACGGGTTGGAAAGTTATCACGACACGGGAGTGGAATGTGTGCTTCTCAAACAAGAGGCCACCGCAGGTGGGAGGGCCGAGCGGAAGGAAGTCTTCGTCAGTGTGTCCATTTCCGAGGGGAGAGGGCTTCTCGGGGCCCTCAGAATGTCGCCTGACGCCTCCAGCAAACTTGGACTGGGCTTTGCGCCTCCGCAGGGGCAGACGGGGAGATGGGAGACATGCGACACTGGAGCCATCCCTCACTGGGGATGGGAAGATGACGTTCATGGTCTCAAAGCAGAAAGCTGCAATTCAAACGGTGTTTCATTCCATTTTACTTTTTGCTTTTTAACACCATCAAGTACCCTTTAAGGGTACAAAGGACTTATTTCATTGACACGGGATGAAAACATTTTCTTTTGAGTCAGACTATCAACAAAAATGAACAGCTCTAGTGTCCAGGCCCAAATTAGCCACCGAATTATAAAGCTACTTGGACTTACCATTTGCCACTTGAATTATAAAGCCACCTGAACCATCTCACCCATGAAATGCTTTTAATGGTGCCAGTTCTGCTGTCCTGTCCCAAGAACAAAAGAAACCTGTGATAGCTATTAAATGACCGAAGGCAAGACCTCACATGTTCCTGCATTCTCAGGAGCTACCCAGAGCCTGGCATCTAGCTCACGTTCTATAAAAGTTCAATAGACACTGGCTGGGTAGCTCAGCTGGTTAGAACATTGTCCCGATACACCAAGGCTATAGGTTCGATCCCAGTCAGGGCACATACGAGAGTCAACCAAGGGATGAACAAGTAAGTGGAACAACAAATCTCTCTCTCAAATCAATAAAAAAAATAAAAGAGTTAATAGAGTTACTGGTATGCAAGTTGCTAACACAGGACTGTGCCCAGCCCCACGGTGGTGTGGCCCGAAGCCCTGCAAGCGGAAAAGGCAAGCTCATCTATGGACTGTGTGTGTTGATTGCAGTCAGGGTGAATCACGGCTCCCTCTAGCAGTGACATGGGGCCAGGGCTGCCCCCTGCCACCGACTGATGGGTCTGCTGGAGAACTCTGTTATGTTGGGGCTTCAGCATGGGTCTCTTTGCTGGGCAGTTCGGCAACAGCGCCGTGGTATCTGGACCTG